TTGTACTATCTTATTAGGTTTCTATATCGATTATGACATTTGGTGGTTTATCATTAACGAAAAGAAACAACCCGCGAATATTTAGTCGTTTATGTCGGCAAATAATAATTTAGAAACGTGACAAGTTCAAAAGCATAATATTATAGTTATTTCGTATTATGATTTCAATTTGATTATGATGTTTATAATATGTGTGTGTATGCTTTGTATATTTACTTAAATGTAATAATTATATACGATATTGTCAGTAACCCAGATACATAAATATGGTATTTCAAAGTATTCTGCAGTGTATGTATTGAACTATGGACCTGCTTGTCCTAGCTCAAATAATAAAAAAAAGGCGATAACAATCGATACTAGTGTTTTTACTTATATACGTTCTACTTTGACACATATGAATAATAAAATAGTATGCCTCGATTTGACATCAAATGCGAATCCATTTACACGATTTTTAAATATATATATGTATATATATATATTATTAACCTGTCTGTACGCAATTCACAATTCAAAATATTTAAATGTTTTTTGTTTTGAAATTTATATTACTATAGGTATAGAATTAGTAAAATATAAAACAATGTTTTTATGATAATTTTTTTGTATCCAAGTGCACTTTAAAGAATTAACTTAATTAAGTTAAACCCATTCTGACGTCATAACATAAAATTCCGATTTTTTATCAGTATTTTATTGAACGTTTTAATATACAATAATATTATATTAGTCATCAATCATCATTATTAGGTATATTATATAGTATCTATCTAGGTATTGTTTTGGAGTGGTGAGATTGTAAAATGTGTCTTGAGTTATTAAAAATTCAAATTTCAGACATTTTTAATGACAATTTTAAATGAACGACACCATTATACCTAATAATTAATCGAAGAAATTTATTTTATTCACATAAATTAATGTTGATTGACATTTTAATGGAATTTAAATTTAATCATGCATTTATCACGCAGATAAACTGAGAACATATTATAGTTGAACATGAATTGTAAATAATTCATATGTTTTCATTTTTACAATAATTAATCACTTCTGTGTTAAGCAATATAATATAATATTATTGACGTACGTATATAGTAACCTACGTTAACGTGCCTAAACAATTATTATATCTAATCATATTAGCTTGTATTATAATATGTTTTGCCAATTATTCGTCATTTATTCGTCTAATTAATAACACGTCCATAAAAAGAATTTTTATCGATTTTGTTCAAGTTACATGTGCAAATATATTTGTATGTATTTTGTTTTTCCCCTGACGACTGATAAGAAAACGAGAGCACACTCGATTATGTAGGTCAGTAGGGCACTATATAGTATATACCATAATCCATATATCGTATAATATATAATTGTACAGAAGCTGAATAGATCTAAACTCGGCACTTGACATTTTTATTTAGTTGTATATTTGTTCGAAATGAAAACAATTGAGTTTGCGTATTACGCGTATTATTAATATTGTATTTTGATCTATATGCTCGGTCGTCGAGTATATTCAACATACCACGCCACATAAATATAAATATATATTTGTACGCATATTTTTAGATTGTGTGCATATGGTTATTAAAGAATCCTAATTATAATATATTGGTTAGTTTAAAAATTGTGTGGGAAATAGGTCACGTTTACATAATTATTTTAAAAACAGTTTTTTTTAAATATATATTTTTATTATTGTAAACCTTATAGCTGTTTAGGGGAAATATTAAATACTGTTGAATGGATTTATTCTAATAACCCTTGCACCTGTCGACAGTATCAGGTGACTCCGCTGCATGCGTGTATATATTTAGGGGCGTGTAAAAAAACACTTGAGACGTTTATGAATAGCAAAAAAATCAGTAGGTATAATCTCCTGGAGTGTAGAACAAATTAAAAAAAACCAAAGCGAACTTAATTTTTTCTATACACTTAGTATGTATATTCGTTAAGGGTCTGATGAGATGATTCTCTTTTCCCTTGGGAATTGGGTCAGTGGGGTGACAACAAGAAAAACTTTAAATATACGACGGAAGTGGGCATGACAATATTTTGATGATGTTTTGTTACAATTAATACATTGAAATAATGATCGATAATATCACACCTGGTCCCGTCTCTACTTTTTTTTGTATTTTTTTGTATTTTGGTTATCATTGTTAAATTTCATTTGATAATACGATTTGGTGTTTTATATAATATTGTCGTTTAAATCATTATTTTTTTTATCCATTTATATTATACCTATATTTTAAATAAGTAGTTTAATTTTTAAATATTTTTAAATTCAATATTATTATTTACTATTATGTTCTTGTGACATAATAATATAAATTAAATTAGCTTAATTAAAACGAGTTTTAAAATTATACTGATATGAAACCTATGTAATCACAATTCATACAATAATCCTGTCTGCAGTAATATTAATTAACCTTTTTTTTTATTAAGTAATTTAATGATTGTACCTAGTTGTGTAGGTATTATATTTAATGTTTACAACCAGTTTTCAATCTTTTTATTTCAAATATAATTTACGTACCATTTAGCGTTTTCGTATTTTGGTCAATCGATTATATTATTATTACAGTCTTCTAAAGTTATAACTAATAAGATACACTTCCCAAAATCATTATTATAATAGAACACGTTTCACGTCAGTTAGGTTTAACATAGAAAATCTGTCCTCATATAGGATAAAGATTTTCTGTAATACTCGAGATTATGCATCATTTGCATAAAGTTTAATTAACAATTAAATTATCGGACGGTTGCCACATATTGGAATTTATATTGGCAAAATATGCATAATTTTTATTGTAAAACCAATACATCGAAATATTCGTATTTTATACGTATATGTGCACGAACCAATCAACAAATCAATTAAATATTAAAAGTTTAAAAACATTTGATTGCGATGACGGAACAAAAACACAACACATCCATCTTGAACACTATATTAAAGTGTATAGTATCCTATTGAAGTATTAAAGTAGGTACTACTATGCTATGCTTATAATAGGGTCTAAACTGTTTAAAAAAATCATACGATTTCAGTTTATTCTTGAGGTTTTAACTGGTGTTAAGAATATTTTCGTTTAGTTACGCCGTATACCACCTACCTATTATGATAATATGTAAAATTCGGACATTAAATAAATAATAAACAGCATGTTAATCAAAATCCCGCGATCGATACAATACGTACGAACATAACTACGATATTAAAATTTAAAAGTTATAAAATACCTAGAACTATTACGCGTGAATTACGGGTTTTTTTTATTTTTATTATTATTACTTTAACTTAATATTAACTCGTTTTTTCCCTCCAAATATATAAATATATAATATAATAATATATTAGTTAATTATTTAAGCAACCTTGAGGAGAGACGAGCGCGTATCTTCGTTCACCACCCCTCTTGGCGCGCGTATTCGAACGCACACACACACACACACACACACACACACTCCCCGCGCTCGCTCGCACACACAAACACACACATACGTGCGCGCGCGCTAACCCGCCTTGCTTCGTGTGTCGGACTCATTGTGGACACACACATACAGAACTGAAAGTAGGTCATTGAGATCCCCCCCATGCCGCCCCGTCTCTCCGACTATACGACCGCGTCGCCGCCGCCTTCTCCGCCGCCGCCGCCACCGCCGCTACCATCGCCACCGCCGCCGCCACAGCCATTACGCGTTTGCCCCCACCTCGGGCCGGCCCCGTCACTTTCACTTGTTTCAGCCGTTTCGTCGTGCCGTCCGTGTCAGTGTGTCTGTGTGTGTGGTATCCGATCTTACGGCCACGGCTAACCTGACTCTGCCGCGAAGTTTCGTACATGTGTTCGTCGAGCGCGCTCGATCCGTTGTAAAATAAAATACTTCGTCCCGCGGTACTTGTAAAAATTTTTTTTTTTCGAAAATCGTATCGTTTTATTTTACTCTTAAAATATTTATTTTTTTTTATATATTTATAAATTTCGAGTTGGTGCGTATATTTTACGGATATAATATAAATCGGAAAAAAAAATTCGTTTATTTAATTTTCATAATAATAATTATAATAATAAAAAGCCGTTAACTTATTACTACAATAATTTTTCGGAATTCGTGTTTGGTCACCGCCGTTGTCGCCGTCGTACAGTGTCCGCGCGCGCCAGTAGTGTGTCGGTCCCCCACCGGTCCCGGTGCGTGTAGCGTGTAGCGCGCGCTCGTGTGTTGTGTGTTCGTGTAGCGCGCGCGCACTCGTGTGTGTGTGTGCGTGTGTGTGTGTGTGCGGCGAGCCGCGCAACGATTGCGTTTCGTCGTCGTCGCCGTCGTATAGCCGTCGTCGCCCGATTCAGTCTCAGTGACGAAATCGGGCCGGGCGCGTTGTTGTGCAAACGAGTCTCGCCAACCTGCAGTGCAATAGCCATAGACATGACGAAAGCCGACAGCTAGCCGTCCCCCCGTGTCTTCGCGCGGCCAGCAATTACAGCGACGACATTCCAGCGCAACGGCCGTCGTCGTAACGACAAACCCGCCACAGCGCTTTTTTTTCGGGTGCTGTAGGGTGATTTTCGCGCCCTACCACCCCGTACCTACCACCACGCCGCACAGAACCCAAATATAGTACATTAGTAAAATATGCTCTCGAGCAGCCCCTATTCGTGACAAAAAGTGCGATCCGCGTGTCTTGTGGGTGCCCCTCCGGGACGCCCCGTACGTTCGTCATATGTTAGCAGCCGGCATGGATCATTCTGCCAGTTATCTGTCCCATTTCGGGCTCAGCCCGCCACAGGCGTCCGGCGACGATGGCGGTGACGATTCGCTGTACCAGCCGCCCGCCTCATCGCCGCCCCTGTACCAATACATGCCGCCCCAGCACCAAACTCCCTCGTCCAGCGCGGCCACCGCGTACTCGATGATGGGTGGCAGTAACCAGGGCTGTTATCAGCTGGGTAATGTGGATACAGCGTATTTGTTCGGTTCTGCAGGTGGAAACGGCGGCGGAGGAGGAGGTGGCGGCGTGTCCGGTTCCATGGACGGCCTCCAGCAGTACGTGGCCGTCGGCGGAAACGGCGGCGGTACTCCCGTGTCCGCGGCCACGGCCGCCGTCAACCCGTCGGCCACGGGTTCCGAGCTTCCTGACACCAAGGAAGGCATCGAGGAACTGTGTCCCGTGTGCGGTGACAAGGTGTCCGGTTACCATTACGGTCTGCTCACGTGTGAGTCGTGCAAAGGCTTTTTCAAGCGGACCGTGCAAAACAAAAAAGTGTACACGTGCGTGGCTGAGCGGTCGTGTCACATCGACAAGACCCAAAGGAAGCGGTGTCCGTTCTGTCGGTTCCAGAAATGTCTCGAAGTCGGCATGAAACTAGAAGGTTAGTGTCTTTTTGATACTATTATTTTTTATTATTATCACTATTTAAATACGCCTATACACTCCACCGGTCTGTTTCGAGTACCTCTGTGCATAATTATATATACATTTACACGCGTTTGCGTAAAATCCGTGCTCTTTAAAATTGTTTACCATTATTTCAACGCCGAAAACTTAAACGGCAGTCGTATAAATTCACAAAGTAATTAAACATCAAAAACACTGCATTTACCATGATTATGTATATCTAGGTACTTGTTCGTTGGAAGAGCTTTAATATTATTATTTGGGTTGAAGTATTTTTGTACATTTATCGTTTGATCAAATATTTAAGACTAATATAATCAATAACCGCCGCCATCTGCTATGTCCAAAATGATTAAGAATACGTCCGAAAATCGCATTTGACATGTATTTCAATGTACTAAAACAAAACGCCTTGTGTTAAAATTCTCAAATTGCGCAGCTTGTATTACCTATTATTATGTAGGTAGTTGTAATAGTTTGTTGTATTATAGTCACCGGGCGATATGTTGATATGCGTAAAACAGCTTTAATAAATTTTACGAGGGATTTGTCCACGTTTGCCGAACGTAAACAGTAAACAGCAGCGCAAGTATACAATTTTGGATCATCCGCCCAATTATTTTAATTAAATGCTTCTCTCCCGAGTTTGAAAAACGTATGTGTGTGCGATACAACACTCCTATACTATTTTATTACTTTTATAATGCGTAGCAATAATATCGTTTGTAACATACTAGACCGTGTTCGCAATTTCTGTTCGACGAACTGGGATTTGCGTTTGAATATTGAATCGGAAAGCTTTTTTTTTCAATTATCCCGGTGTGCAGATTAAATTCGGATTGATTGATTCGTTATTATTTGTATTTATTTTTAAAATTAATTAATTTAAGCATTTGCGTTTAATAATCGTGTTTTGAAGAAATGCGGGTCACGTAGTATTACTGTGAATTTCCAACCGCGCATACAGGAAAAAAAACAATCAAAAGTACAACTTTGATAACCCGTATTTTTGACTTTTTTGAACCCAGGTATTATTAACCATCAAAGTCAGTATCGCATTATATTATGAATAAGGTTCCAGAGTTTCGAGGTTGAACGCTTTGTTTTAATTTTCCAAATATTTTAATAGACCCACATGTAAGTTGTTGTTTTATACAATTTTCGAGTCTTTGTTTATGCATGGTTATATTACCATAATAATATATTTAGTGATATTGATTTTTTTGACGGGTAACCCGTGGTGTTAATTTTGTCTACTATTGAAATCATATTCCATTTATTGCGCAACAGGAGGGAACGATTCCCATACAGTATACACATATATTTTATGATATACAAATAGTGTATAGAAATTATAGAATCTCTGATCTTTTAGAGAATCATATATTATAATCCTATACATGATTTTCCAAAATAGTAATCACTCTGCAATCATAAAGTTTTGATTTCAATTTTCCTAGGTACGATAAAAGTTTGTTCCTATGTTTGGTCGCATTATACTATCGTTATTTTAAAATTTCCAGTATCCTTACTCGCCTCCGCGTTTCACTTATTTACGTTATCCTAGTACATCGTTTCAACGTAAATTATTGAAATTATCTATTGCACGTTGGGAAAAAAATTTCAATCATATAATATTTTCATCTGACAGTCAATAAACTACAATTAACGTATTTTGTATCATTTGTTGTAATGTATTGTGTTAAATAATTAGTATTTCAGCTAACGATAATGGCAGTATAATAACTCATGTTAGTAATAAAATGTATACATTATAATTGTCAGGAAACCGCATAATTTTGATATGATACCACGTTAGATAAATTCAATAGTTTATAAATGTATATAATACATTATAGTGCATATTAAAATTGATTCATAATAAAAAGACAAATAAAATCGTGATATTCAAATATGATAAGATAGTAGGTACCTATAGGAGGTACCTACGTTGTGTTTTAATGTTTGTAAATAATATTAAAAAAAAAACTTGCTTATAAGATTTTTGTAACAAGTTGTAAAAAACACATTTACTATTTTGTAACTCGTATTATAGGGAATATATACACGTAAAGATAATAATGATAAAAAAACTCGGGTTTTCTGTTCCACAGACCGAATCCGTGTCAAGATCGTCAAGATTTTCTCAGCGTCCCCCTACCTACATTGCTTTCCACCATTCTTCCATGACATCATACAGTTTATTATTATTACTATTATTATTATTTCTGCTATTCTATTACAAGGCGATTCGTCCCACCGGTAGAATATCAAATACATAATAGAAATACATATATAAAAACGACGATATATTGCGTTTTGTATTTATAATCTATTCAGTCCTTCGGTTTTTTTTTCAAGAATAAAAAAAAAGTTAAAATTGTATAACGTATTATATTATTATTATTATTATTGTATATGTCCATATCATATATAATATATTCGGCATGCATGTACACGCTACGTATTAAAGTAATAATAATAATAATAATACTAATATCCTTTGATTTTCGATGTCGTATAGGTACTACATTATGTACTATACGTGTATCGGGTGGTTTAGTGGTGGAAGGGAGAAATGTGACCATTGAATAACGATAAAAATTGTGGCGTATTTTTATGGTTTAGATGTTATGAAATGATACAACAGTTGTCGTACATACACCAGTAGTGGCTATATTTAATATATATAATAATATTATTATCAGTAATAATAATAATAATAATAATTGGTTTTGGCATGAAAATTAACCTAATTTCCCGCTGTACTGCACCAGAGTATCATATGTATATATAGATAGACATCGAGGTGTATTCTGTACGACGTACGTTTGTGACGCTGTCGCTCGCGCGCGTGTGTGCGCGCGCGTTCAATCTGTTATTCTATTGAAATTTACGCGTCGAACTTCCGTTCTTTTAACCGCCGGGGCCGCTATGTGCTGCTGATAATCGCGTTCGGAAATCCTGTTCCGCGTAATACGCACTGTCGATTGTTTCGTAGCGATTGTTGCGTGCAATCTGAAAATTGGCTAATCACAAATCACATCGATTCGTACGAAACACCGCATTCCACGTTTATTTATTTTTCATCCCGCCGTCACCGGATACACGAAAAACACGACGATATCGTCATCGACGCGGTGGTGTGTGCCTGTTGTGTAACGTACACGGCCAAAAACATCGGGCCCGATGCGTGGGTGGCAAATTTCTCTCCCCAAACACTGTACACGACGTACGGTGTGAACAATATAATAAATATAAGTAACAATAAAACGATACGCGTATCGATTTCCCAACGATATTATATTATTTTACAATATTATGTCGTATAACGTACCTACGTACACGTATCTTTCGTTTCGCGCGTGTCGCCTCCGTGCGCGTACGATTTGTGTGTCGGACGGGCGGGTGGTGATAAATTCTTCAGGTGTCTTGGGTGTTATTGCACGCCGAGTCGCTTGTACACCCGATACCGTGTGTTATATTGTTGTGTCCGGGGGGGTTGCCGAGCGCAGTGAGCATATCGTAACGAAATAGGCACGTGTTTTATTTTTCGATAGAAAAAAGGTTTCTGAAATACGCACGCGCGGGCGGCGGCACCGTTGGAGTTGTGCAAAAAACCCCCCCGCGTGCTCGCCGTATAGACTCGTTAACGGACCATTAATAATCCGTCGTAACGTTACGGCGGCGGTCGCGGCTACGGTGGGAGAGAATATTTCAATTACGGCGGCGGTTACCTAGTTTCTTGCGTTATCTGCCGCGCGAAAGCGAGTTTGGATATTATTATGTGTATATATATATATATATTTACGAAAAACAAACGAATAATCAAACGAAAACGAAAATCGAGTCGCGCGCCTGCACACACACACACACCTGCAGGTACGTGTGTGCGCGCGTAGGCTGTTGCACAATAGTTGTCATCATTCTTCTCACTCTCGACGGTGCGGTTTGATGTTTGCGTATGTGTGTGTGTGTGTGTGCGTGTTTGTGTTTTTTCTTTTGCTGTCGCGCGCGCACGCACACACAATGCATTCAGAATGTAGATTAGCATATTATTCATTTAAAGACGTGTGTGTGTGTGTGTGTGTGTGTGTATTTGCTGGGCGCGTTCACGTAAACCGAACACACACCAGTATTGCTCACATACGCGCTTACACGCTTACCCGAGTATATACTTGCGCGTATATTCACACACACACACACACACACACGAGCGCGGCGCGCGCGGCCTAGGCGTTTCGCAACGCGCTCCTTTAATTAGGGTCCCGGCGATAGGTCACCCAATCTCCGCCCAACGTCACCCCCCGCTCGGCCTGTTGGCCCAGTTGCGGGCCGCGCCGCCGCCGCCCGCGTATAATATGCACAACACACATACACACACACACACCCGCGCGCACACGCACGCACGCACGAACGCACCGCTCACCGGGTGTACGCGGCGGCAAATTATTACGCGAGTTTTTCCCTTTACCCCGCCTCTGCTGCACGCCGTCCTATCCGCGCGGTGGCGTACGATTTTCGAAACATATTTTTAAGACCGTTGGCCCGAGAGACTTTTGTCGCCTCCGAAAACGGCGCGGACGATTGACGTATTAATACGCGATTGAAATTCCGCCGTTTTCGACAACATTTTGTCTTTTTTTCGTTTTTTTTTCTTCGTGACGTGTCTTTTCCCGAGCGACGAGAAGATATCGTGCTTGGAATAAGACGTCGTTCGTCCGTCGTCGAGTAAAGCTCTCGTAGCGTGTAGCGTCCGGCAAAAACGTCAGTCGGTTTTTTTCCTCGTACGATTTATTCATTTTCGTTACAATGCCCCCTATAAGCGCTCGCCGGTGCGCCGCGTGTACGTCGTCGTCGTCGCTTTTTATAATGAGACGCGCCTCCGCCCCGCCGCCGCGGGGGACCGGTTTTTCTGAACGCGGCCGATCGGAATATTCTCTGTTGTGCGTGCGTGTGTGTGTCTGTGTGTGT